ATTGGGAATCACACTTCAACATGAGACTTGGAGGGGACAAACATGCAATCCATATCAGCTATCAGCTACCTACAAGAAACTCACATCAGCTGCAAAGACATACACAGACTGAAAGTAAAGGAATAAAAAATTATATTCCATGTAAACAGAAACCAAAAGTGAGAAGGAGTAGCTGTACTTATATTAGATAAAATAGATTTCAAGATAAAAATTGTAAGAAAAGAAAAAGTTTTCAATTTAGCAAGAGGATATAACCATCCCAATCATATTAAATACACGCAGTCAACACAGGAGCACCCAAATATATAAAGCAAATAGTATTAGATCTAAAGGGAGAGATAGGCTCCAATACAATAATAGTTGAGGACTTCAACAAACAGTCTCAGAATTGGCCATCATTTAGACAGAAAAATAAGAAAGAAACACAGAAAAATAAGAAAGAAACATCAGATTTAAACTGCACTTTAGACAAAATAGAACTAACAGATATTTACAGAACACGTTATCCAGCTGCTACATAATGCATTTTTTTCTCCTCAGCACAGGAAACATTCTCCAGGACAGATCATTTGTTATGCCATTAAACAAGCCTCAACAAATGTAAAATAATCAGAATCATATCAAGTATCTTCTAAGACTACAATGGAATTAAACTAGAAATCGGTACCAAGGAAAACTTTGGAAACTGTACAAATACATGAAAATTTAAAACATGCTCCTGAATGACCACTGAATCAATTAAGAAATCAAGAAGAAACTTTAAAAATTTCTTGAAACAAATGAAAATGGAAACACAAAATACCAAAACCTATAGGATATAGCAAAAGTAGTGCTAAGATGGAAGTTTATAGTAATCGATAAATAAATAAATAAAAGTAGAGAGTTTAAATATACAACCTAAAGATGCATCTTTTAAAAACTGGAAAATCCCCGTCTCTACTAAAAAATACAAAAAACTAGCCGGGCGAGGTGGCGGGCGCCTGTAGTCCCAGCTACTCGGGAGGCTGAGGCAGGAGAATGGCGTAAATCCGGGAGACGGAGCTTGCAGTGAGCTGAGATCTGGCCACTGCACTCCAGCCTGGGCCACAGAGCGAGACTCCGCCTCAAAAAACAAACAAACAAACAAACAAACAAAAAAACTGGAAAATCAAGAACAAACCAAACCCAGTATCTTTTGTTCTAAACCCAAAATTAGAACAAAAGAAATAATAAAAATCAGAGCAGAACTAAATGGAATAGAAACTAAAAAGAAACACAAAGGATCAATGAAACAAAGAAGCCTGTTTTAAAAAAAGATAAATAAAATCAATAAACTAGACTAGGCTATACTGATCAAGAAAAAAAGAGAGAAAACTCAAATAAATAAAATTGGAAATGAAAAAGGAGACATTACAACCGATATCACAGAAATACAAAGCGTCATCAGAGACTATTATGGACAACTTTAGCCTAACAAACTGGAAAACCTAGGGGAATGGATAAATTCCCGGACATATACAGCCTAACAAGATTGAACCAGGAAGATATAGAAAACCTGAACAGACCAATAAAGAATAATGAGATTGAATCAGTAATAAAAATTATCCCAACAAAGAAAAGTCTAGGACTGGATGGCTTTTCTGCCAAATTCTGCCAAACTCAGGAAAGAGCTAACGCAAATTCTTCTCAAACTAATTCTTTAAAATTAAAGAGGAGGGGATTCTTTCTAATTCATTCTACAAGGCTATCATCCTGATACCAAAACCAGACAAGGATACACACAAAAAGAAAACTACAATCTCCCTAATGAATATAGATGTAATCCTCAACAAGATACTAGCAAACAGAATCCAACAACACATCAAAAAGATAATATACCATAATCAAGTGGAATTTATCCCAGAAATGCAAGAATGGTTCAACATATGCAAATCAATAAACATGATACATCACATCAACAGAATGAGAGACAAAAACCGTAAGTTCATCTCAATAGATTAAGAAAAACATTTGATAAAATCCAACATACCTTCTTCATGATAAAAACTGTCAACAAATCAGGCATAGAAGGAACATACCACAACATAATACAGGCCATATACAACAAACATCATCATACTGAATAGGGAAAAGCTGAAAGCATTTCCTCTAAGAATTGGAACAAGACAAGAATGTCCCCTTTCACCACTTCAATTCAACATAGTACCAGAAGTCCTAGCCAGACCAATTGGGTAAGAAAAAGAAACAAAAGGCATTCATACCGAAAGAGAGCAAGTCAAACTGTTTTTCTTTGCAAATGACACATCTTTTATACAGAAAAAACTACTCCATCAAAAAACTTTTAGAACTGATAAATGAATTCAGTAAAGTTGCAGGATACAAAATCAACATACAAAACTCACTAGCATTTCTATACACTAATAATGAACTAGCTAAAAAGAAATCAAGAAAGCAATCCCATTTACAATAGCTACAAAATAAATAAATAACCTTAAAATAGATTGAATCAAGGAGGTGAAAGGTCTGTATAAGGAAAACTATAAAATGCTGATGTAAGAAGTTGAAGAGGACACAAACAAATGGAAGACATTTCATGCTCATGGTTGGAAAAATTAACATTGTTAAAATGATCATACTGACTCTAAAGCAATCTACAGGTTCAATGCATAATTATTAAAATACCAATGGCATTTGTCACAGAAATAGAAAAAAAAAGTTCTAAAGTTCACATGGACCACAAAAGACCCCAAATAGTCATAGCAATACTGAGCAAAAAGAACAAAGTTGGAGGCATCACACTACCTGATTTCAAAATATACTACAAAGCAATAATAACCAAAATGGCAAGGTATTAGTATAAAAACAGGCACATAGACTAATGGCACAGAATAGGAAACCCAGAAATAAATCCATGTATTTATAGCCAAATAATCTTTGACAAAGCTGACAAGAACATACACTGGGGAAAGGACACCCTCTTCAATGAATGGTGCTGGGTAAACTGGGATCCATATGCAGAAGAATGAAACTAAACTCCCGTCTCTCACCATATACACGTAGAATAAGCTCAAAAACTAAACCCCTATCTCTCACCATATACATGTAAAATAAGCTCAAATGGATTAAAGATTTAAACATAAGACTCAAAATGGTAAAACCACTAAAAGAAAACAGGGGAAACACTTCAGGACACTCATGTATGTAAAGCTTTTATGGCTAAGACCCAAAAAGCATAGGCAACAAAACCACAAATAGACAAATAGACAAAAACTAAAAAGTTTCTTCACAGCAAAGGGAACAATCAATACAGTGAAGAGACAACCTGTAGAATGGGAGAAAATATCTGCCAACTATCCATCTGACCGAAGACTAATATCCAGAATATACAAGGAACTCAAGCAACTGAGGAGCACAAAACACAAATAATACCATTAAAAAGTGAGGAAAGGATCTTAATAGATATTTCTCAAAAGAAGACATACAGGTGCCCAACAGGTATATGGAAAAATGCTCAACATCACTAATCATCAGGGAAATGCAAATTAAAACCACAATGAGGTATCATCTCATTGGAGTTAGAATGGTTATTACCAAAAAGACAAAAAATAACAGATGCTGATGAGGATGCAGAGAAAATGAACTCATACACTATTAGCAGGAATGTAAATTAGTACAACCATTATAGAAAACAATATGGAGGTTTCTAAAAAAACTACAAATAGAATTACCATATGCTGCAGTAATTCCACTACTCAGTATTTTTCTAAAGGAAAAGAAATCAGTATATCAAAGGAATATCTGCACTCCATGTTTATTATAGTACTATTCACAAAAGCCATGACATGGAATCACCCTAAGTGTCCTTAAACAGATGAATGGATTTAAAAAATGTGGCATATCTACACAATGGAATATTACTAAGCCATAAAAAGAATGAAATCCTATCACTTGCAGTGACATGGATGGAACTGGAGGTCATTATGTTAAATGAAATAAGACAGGCACAGAAAGACAAATATCGTATGTTCTCACTCATATGTGGGAGTGTAAAAAGTTAATTTCACGGAGGTAAAGAATAGAACAATAGTTACCAGAGGCTGGGAAGTGGGGATGGGTGGAAGATGAAGAGAGATTGGTTAATGGGTGCAGACAGTTAGATAGAAGGAATAAATTCTAGTGTTCAATAGCACAGTAGGGTGACTATAGTTAAGAACGATATATTGTATATTTCAAAATAGCTAGAAGAGATTTGAAATGTTCCCAATATAACGAAATGATACATGTTTGAAGTGATGGATAGCCTAAATACACTGATTTGGTCATTAACATTAAATGCATGTATCAAAATATTACATGTATTCTATAAAGGTGTACACTTATTATATACCAACAACAAAACCCTTCCTTCAAAAGAATCTCCAGACCCAGATGGCTTCACCAGTGAATTCTCCTAACACTTAAAGATACTGTTTCCAACAACAGAAAGAGGAAGCACTTCCCAACTTATGAGGCCAATATAACCATGATTCCAAAACTTGAAGAGGACATTACAAGAAAGGAAGATGATGAGAGTAACATCTGACCCCAAAGTGGAGGTTGCACTAGGATATCAGCTAGAGAGATTTTGTCCTGAGGCTCCACATGTAATACAAAAATGTGATCACACGTTTGCCAGAACAGATTGTGTTGAAAGTTCCTCTTACAATTTGTCAAGTTCTCTCCCCAAATACAATGCAATTCTCTCATTAATGATTTGCCTCTTTGGACTGAGCACTATCTTTTTAATGAATTGTCTCCTTACCTCTTGAACAATGCCTAAACTTTTGTCTGGTTTTATATTTAGTCCTATGTATGTATGAACTCAGACCACTCTTCTCTGTGGAAAGCAGGGCCACAGAAGACACACACTGGCTGCTGTATGGCTTTGCTTAAGGTCGGCCATGTCTCACTGGTATTCAGGCTTTATTTTCAATCCCATTCTCCCATTCCCACAACCTGCCTGCTCCCAAGCATCGTCCTACCTGATGGAAGTCACCCACTTGCCGGACGTAACCAGCCACTTCATTGTCAGATTTAAAGATCTTCCAAACTTTTTTCTCTGCCTTCTTGTATTCCTGGGATCCTTTCCAGTCCATGCCCATCAAGGAGCGCTCTGTCAGGGTAGCTGCCACGATGATGTCCAGTTGGCCATTGTACATCAGAACCTGAAATGAAATCAAGCCATCAGCAAATGTGAGATTCAGGAGGTGAAGCTCATGAATCAAGCCAGGTATAAACAGTGAGCCGGTGAGAGAGAAAAAGAGACAAGAATCTCTCTGAGATTTTCTTCTAGTTAGCCATAAACAACAACAATCTGAAATAAACTCAAGCCTTGTCTCTACCACTGCATTCTTCATAGTAATCTGCATAAATGCAAAAACATTTGTGTTGTATTACTCAGTGATACATATATACAGGTTTTACTTGGATTTATGGCTATGTTAAGACAGAGGACTGTGGTTACATTTTAGTGGAACTAAGGAATACCACCCCCCAGGATTTTCATGAAGCCTGCATTTCATTAACTTCAACTTCAGGCACTGCAGTCACTGGCAAGCTGAGCATTCTCTTGGGTATTGCTAATCCATATTGTCCTCCTCTCCTACACTGATTTCAGTGGCAAGTATAATTTTTTTGCAGCAGCAGACAGAGATTCAGGTGCCTCAAATTTGTTTCTTATTGGAAGCAACTATGCCTGCCATGCCACTTGTAAAACTTCCTTTTTAAAAATATGACAGCTGCTTGTCAACAGTGAGGAATGTTCTTTCTTCCTAGAATACAATTTTTTTGTGTGTGTCAAACTGATGGTTATCATAGGAAAAACAACACTGAGGTAATTCTTTTCTTTAATCCTAAAACAATTTTCAATTTGCTTGTAAAAAGAATTCAGATAATTCCCAATTCTGATAAAGTTGAAGAACTAATGGGGACAGTATAAAATGGCTCTACTTTTCAGAAAAACAGTAGCCAATTTTCTGCCCCCAAACTTAAAAATGTTGAAATTCCTTGTCCCAGTAATTTCAACTTACAGAATATATTCTAGGAAAACAGGTCCAAAGAATTTTTTAAAAATTATATATATTCATTGAGTCTTATGATGAAAAACTCAAACATAATCCAGAAGTCCTATAATTGAGTAGGTAAACGCACAGCAGTACAGGAATTCTATAGGATATTATAACACCATTTAAAAATGTTTCATTGAACCATGATGCAATGTGGGAAACGCTTATCACATAATGTTACGTATGAAAGCAGAAAGTCAAATATAATGTATATCACGATTATAACTATAAAAATCAGTGCACATATTCACATATATGGAATACAAAGTTTGAAAAATGTTAATAATTAATTTAGATGATAGAAATCTGAGTAATATACCCTCCTTTTTTCTACTTTAATGCTACTTCTATGCAACTAACATATTATCATAAAGTATTGCCACTCCACCTCCAACAAAGAGGTCAGCCTCAACTCCACGCTACCTTTGATCTATTTGAAGGCTCTGATCTATTTGGCCCGGGTGGAGACCTTTGGTTGAATCCTCAAATTGGATATAAAATATTTCACTGCATATGTTTCCGTCTTTCCCTTTATGGTGCGGGCTTCTTAAAAGGCTCAAACATAATTAAAAAGTCCAGGACTTTTACACACTCCAAATCCTCAAGCAGCAGTGGGACAGCAGTCAGACTAAGATGAAAGAGCCCCGGGCCCCCACTGCAGGAACATGAGGCCTTTCAAGTTAGTCAGTCACCATCACCACCCCCACTCCCCTAAGAAGAAACCCACAGGAAAATCCTGATAGATTTAAAGCCTGTGAAAAAAATTCAGCTCAACTCCAGTCATAAAATATTTGCATTGTTTATACAGAGAAATTACCTCAAAGACCTTGAGTACTTATGGCCTCTGCAAAACCTCCTATAGTTGTTTTGGCCAACAGTATGGAAACAATTACATATGATCAGTACCAGTGAACAAGGTTTAATTACTTCACCATTCTAGGAAGACCTGATTATAGCTGATTAGCAAAGATCATCATGCATAAAGTGATTCTTCTTCTAGAATTCAGTGTAAAAGATGCTGATCAATCAGCAAATTCATAGTGCATCCATTTAGTTTTACTCTTCATGGCCACTATAGGCAGCTTGCATCTCTCATGTGTCTCCCACAGCTTTCTTTACTGACAATCATTACTATATTTTGAAATCAATGTGATGTTTTTTTCATCCTTAAGGGACAACAGCAAAGTCCCCATGTTACAGCAAAAACAAATTTATATGTACAGCACTATATTACATGTTGAACTGACGTGGAATGAGGACCATCCCTGAGTTGTTTCTCTTGTTAGTCAAGACTTATCATAACAAGAGCACCAACTGTCTGGACCAAGAAACAGCGAAGAGCTGAACTGCACAATCTCACACAGGCGATGTATAGAAGGTCTACTTTTGGGTACAAATGGAAACCCTTCCTTTGCAAAGCAAGGAAACCATTTTGTATTTCTGAAGGGCACATAAGTCAAATGCAACAAAAAAGAAACCAGAATAATGATCATGAGAAGTGATTTCAAAGCTGACGCTTAAGGCAGGCCAGCATTAAACATAAGAATTCCAGAGCTCTTATTTTCACCTAAATGTCACATTTATTCTCATGATCCCCTACAGGAATATCCCAGTTAGGTGCCTCTAGACTGGATGAGTGGATGAGATAGCCCAGGACCCAGTGACTGAGCATGAGAAGCAGGTGGGCATGGCATAGAGGTGGTCCTGAAGCCCAAGGGCACTCGCTGGCTACCCACATCCTGATAGAAAAGTTCCAGGCAGGACCTTAGCTCTGACAGGGACAGGTTGGCCAAATATGTCTGCACACTCATCTCACTTCTCCCCTGGTAGGGTGACCAACTGTCCCAGTTTGCCCTGGACAGGAGTTGCCCAGCAAGACATTCAGTGCTAAAACTGGGACACTCTGGAGTAAACCTACCCTGAGGCTTGCTGGTATTTTAAGCAACAAGGTCTAAAGACAGGAGGGAGGAGACAGAGATGAATGCAGCTTTTAGCTACACTTCCCTTGTCAATAGTGATTGGAACAAAACAAGGAACAAGGAAAGAGCTGGTTGGAGGTGGTTTCCAGCGACGTACCACAGAGTGCCCTGAACACGCATGTCCTTACTTTCCTTTCTGGTCAGCTGCAGGCCTCTGGTAAGGGAGCAAAGCCACTGCTTTTAGAGACTTCTTTTACTCCTTATAGAGCTGGCTGCTTAGCTTATTGAAACTGACGGTTAAGCAATGTCACAGAAAAATGTTTATCTTATGAAAAAAATCAATGAAAAACTGAGACTTCACTTGTTTGTACTCTAATTATCACATATTCAAAAATGCTTCAAACCTGGGGAAAGAACAAATCAAAATACAGTTAAGTTATTTGAACTGTGGTTGATTGTTTTAGATTGGCTATTTTCTAGGTTTTTGTTTTGTTTTGTTTTGTTTTTGGCAAATGTGGTTACAATCCCTTTTTATTTATTTATTTATTTATTTTTAAGAGACAGAGTCTCACTATGTTCCCCAAGCTGGAGTGCAATGCACAATCTTGGCTCACTGCAACCTCCACCTCCTGGGCTCAAGCCATCCTCCTATTGGGACTACAGGTGTACGCCACTACACCTAGCTAATTTTTTTGTATATTTTGTAGAGATGGGGTTTTGCCATGTTGCCCAGGCTGGTCTTGAACTCCTCAGCTCAAGCAATCTACCCACCTCAGCTTCCTTCCCAAAGTGCTGGGATTACAGGCATGAGCCACTGCAACCTGGCCATAGAATGCTTTTTATTTATTGATTTATTTATTTTTCTTCAGCTTTTAAGTTCAGGGGTATATGTGCAGGTTGTTACACAGGTGAATGTGTACCATGGTGGTTTGCTGCACAGATCATCTCATCACCTGGGTATTAAGCCCAGCAACCACTACCTATTCTTCCTGATGCTCTCCCTCCCCCAACACCCTCCTGACAGGCCCCAGTATGTGTTGTTCCCCCCATGTGCCCATGTGTTCTCATCGTTTTTTTAAAAAAATAATTCTTGAATATAGCACACTGATGGGTCTTGACTCTATCCAATTTGCCAGTCTGTGTCTTTTAATTGGGGCATTTAGCCCACTTACATTTAAGGTTAATATTGTTATGTGTGAATTTGATCCTGTCATTATGATGTTAGCTGGTTATTTTGCTCATTAGTTGATGCAGTTTCTTCCTAGCATCTATGGTCTTTACATTTTGGCATGTTTTTGCAGTGGCTGGTACTGGTTGTTCCTTTCCATGTTCACTGCTTCCTTCAGGAGCTCTTGTAGGGCAGGCCTGATGGTGATAAAATCTCTCAGCATTTGCTTGTCTGTAAAGGATTTTATTTCTCCTTCACTTATGAAACTTAGTTTGGTTGGATATGAAATTCTGGGTTGAAAATTCATTTCTTTAAGAATGTTGAATACTGGCCCCCACTCTCTTCTAGCTTGTAGAATTTCTGCTGAGAGATCTGCTGTTAATCTGATGGGCTTCCCTTTGTGGGTAACCCGACCTTTCTCTCTGGCTACCCTTTACATTTTTTCCTTCATTTCAACTTTGGTGAATCTGACAATTATGTGTCTTGGAGTTGCTCTTCTCGAGCAGTTATCTTTGTGGCATTCTCTGTATTTCCTGAAGTTGAATGTTGGCCTGCCTTGCTAGGTTGGGGAAGTTCTCCTGGATAATATCCTGCAGAGTGTTTTCCAACTTGGTTTCATTCTCCTCGCCACTTTCAGGTACACCAATCAGACGTAGATTTGTTTTTTTCACATAGTCCCATATTTCTTGGAGGCTTTGTTTGTTTCTTTTTACTCTTTAGTCTCTAAACTTTTCTTCTCACTTCATTTCATTCATTTGATCTTCAATCACTGATACCATTTCTTCCAGTTGATCGAATCGGCTACTGAAGCTTGTGCATTCGTCAGGTAGTTTGAGTGCCATGGCTTTCAGCTCCATCAGGTCATTTAAGGACTGCTCTACACTGGTTATTCTAGTTAGCCATTCATCTAATCTCACATGCAGAGACACACATAGGCTCAAAATAAAGGGATGGAGGAAGATCAAATGGAAAACAAAAAAAGGGCAGGGGTTGCAATCCTAGTCTCTGATAAA